GCCCAACAGGAGTTTGGACTTGTTCGTTTTCGGTAAGTCTCTCAACAATTAATCTTTACATCTCCACCGACAATTTTTGGATTTAGAGCTAAATTTTTGAATGTCTTGATCAATCTACCTAGATCAAACAAAAGATACAACTCTAAGTTGGCAGAGGCGTTTTGACATTATAGCGGGAATTGCCAGGGGGCTTCTCTACCTCCATCGTGATTCAAGGTTGAGAATAATTCATAGGGATCTGAAAGCAAGCAATATTCTTCTGGATAATGATATGAATCCTAAAATCTCAGACTTCGGCTTAGCAAGAACATTTGGAGGGGATCAATATGAAGAAAATACAAAAAGAGTCATGGGCACCTAGTAAGCTAACATGCTTCTTTCCTCCTTCTATACTTTGTAGTCTTGGTTTCTATATCTCCTAAAACTTGTTTTACTATTTCGTGTAGCGGATACATGGCTCCTGAATATGCTATAGATGGACTTTTTTCGATGAAATCTGATGTGTTTAGCTTTGGAGTGCTCGTTTTGGAGATAGTGAGTGGAAAGAAAAATAGAGGATTTCATCATCCTGATCACGACCTCAACCTTTTGGGACATGTGAGTTTAAAATACTATAATTTCTTAACGAGTGATAAAGCACATTAAGTCACTAAATTTATACGATTTTCTATTGCCATAGGCTTGGAAACTATGGACGGAAGGAAATCCCATGGATCTTTTGGATGCTTCATTAGTGACTTTGAACTCTGAATCTGAAGTGTTAAGATGTATCCATGTCGGCTTGTTGTGTGTACAACAACGCCCTGAAGATAGACCTATTATGTCTAATGTTTTATTAATGTTAGACATCGAGCATCCGGTGACTTCTCAACCTAAACAACCTGGTTTTTACTCGGAAAGATCACTTATTGAGATGGCTACGTCTTCATCAACCAGAAATAAACTTCATACTTCTAATGAAATAACTGTAACATTATTACAAGGTCGATAGAATCTTTTTTCTATCTATCTATCTATCTATATATATATATTACCTTTTTTCTTTTTTCTTTTTTTGTCATTTTGTGATAAACTAATTATTACTAATTCCGAAGTAATTATTTCTTTAGCTGAGTAACCAAGAAGTTCCACTTTGTATTTGTATTGTTAGTCTATCGCTTTCATCCAATTTAAATGCATAGAGAAAAAAGAAATCCCACGATACTTAACCAAGTTTTACTGGCTCTCTCATGGACACGCAACAATATTTATCCCATAAATGAGGTCATCTAGATATTGGTCCACTAGTGACTATGAATTTAAGAGTCTTCAATTAAATGGTCAAATCTTCACCTAAAATTGCCGTGAATTAATTCAGAATATAGAAACAACAAGATTTCATTTTCGCCAGTGCCTGTGTCAAAATTAATAACCCATATGGGGGAGAATTTTACAGTTGTTATACCCTTTATCAAGAAAATCATGTACAGAGAGTAAAAATCACAAGCTTTTATCACAAGAAATTCACACATAATGAGCCCGTGAATTTGAACTTAGGATGTGTTTGATTGCGAGGATGGAAAATGAGTGGAAAAAAAATGTTTTACTGGAAAGAGATTTGCCTAGAAAATGTTTTG